TCACGCATCCACCTGCAGAGTCACGCATCCACCTGCAGAGTCACGCATCCACCTGCACACATGCATCCACCTGCAGACACATGCATCCACCTGCAGACACACGCATCCACCTGCAGACCCATGCATCCACCTGCAGACACACGCTTCCACCTGCAGACTCACGCATCCACCTGCAGACCCATGCATCCACCTGCAGACACACGCTTCCACCTGCAGACTCACGCATCCACCTGCAGAGTCACGCATCCACCTGCAGACTCACGCTTCCACCTGCAGACTCACGCATCCACCTGCAGACCCATGCATCCACCTGCAGACTCACGCATCCACATGCGTACCATTAAACTGTGCAGAACTAAACTGCATCACTATCAATTGTGAATCTTTCTTTTGATCCAGCTTAATGTCTCTAATCTTCTTTCTGTGCTAAATGGTCTTTAACAAGCTGAGATTAGAAGCTGATTATCTAACTGTGAAAAGATTCTCTGATGCAGGAAGTGCTGCTGCTGTTTCAAACATCTAATAGAGGAGGAAAGTAGAGATTCATTCTCACTTTTCATAGTTTGCAGACAAATTGAGGTAAACAGGATTGTTTAAACTGCAGTCAGCTTTAAACTGCTGAACTCTGATTTTTCTTTCTTCACTTAAGAGGAAAAACTCAGAAAGCCTTCATCTTGAGCAACAGCAAAGGTAGAAATGAAAGGAAGTAAACAGGAAACATGAGGAGAGCAAACAGCAGCTCTGCGGCTGGACCTCACCTCTGCGTGCAGCGGCCTGCAGCGCCTCCTCGATGCGCTGCAGCTCCCTCTGCTTGGCCTCCTGCTGGTAACGCTCCTCTTTCGTTGCATCGTACTTTATTGCTGCGGGGGGGAAAAACAAACAGCATGATTAAAAACTCGTTTTTCCACAGATTTAGAAAGGAAGTAGCTGCAGCATCTGAAGGAACCCGACTAGTAAAGACCAGAAGAAGATCCAGCACCGACAGGCGTCCAGGTTTAAAGTTAGAGACTAAATAAAAGCATCAGCCGCTGCATTTCCATCCAACGGGAGGAGAAAGATAAAATGCAAACGGGCGACAGCGAGGTCACTCCTCTCATCACATGGGTCACATCATCAACAGCCAGACCTTAGCAGTGGGGAAAAGATTCTGTTCCAATCCAACAGAATCATTGTCATCATGAAATTGTGTTTTTAGCAAAATATCGCTAAAGTTTTTGTTAATATTTGTGATGGAAATGCAGCTTTGACTGATCGTTGGCTCTGAGCACAACGCTGCAGCAAACCAGACGCTCAGGAGGGAAGACCAACCAGCTTGGTCGTTCCAGACCAGGTCGCTCCTTCCCGATTCATCTCAACAGGTTCCCCTAAAAGCAGCAGGAACGAACCCGTCCCCGTCCTCTCAGCCGCAGTTCTGATCCAGACGAATTCAGCACTGAAACAAAGTCTAGGAAAGAACCCGGAACCGACCCGGAAACCGAGCTACAAGGCAGAGAAAGTCCAGATCAGGCTTCCAGCTTCAACTTCCCAGCAGCAGAAATGAGAGCAGAACTGGGTCCAACATTCTAACGCCGCTCTGACACGGGACTTCCTGTTAGAAAGGTTGGTCCGTCTTCATCTGGCAGCCAGTCTGCTTCCTACTTCCACCTTTATGGAGTGAAGTTTGTTCCATTATTGTTGAAAAATAAGACCAGATTATTTAAATGAAAATATAAGAAAAATAACCTAAATCAAAAAAAGGTTTTGAGACTAACTTTGCAGTTTATTTCCTTCTTGATTTTTATTTATTTTTTCACCTAAAAAACAGTTTTTCCTCATTTTTATACTTTTATTTTTGTTATTCTAATTTCTCTTTTAGAAATTGCGTTTAACAAATCCCCTCCTCTTCAGCTCGACACAAACAAACCATCTAGACCAATAAAAATGTTTCCAACGTTCATATGGACCCGTTCAAAGTCTACGAATCTTTACTCTGGAACAAAAAGCCCGCCCCCAGAATGTGATCTGTGCAACGCATATTAATTCTTTTCCGTTTATTTCCATAGCTCCAATTCACATCATGTCAGGTCACTTTATAGATCCATACCAACCAGATCCTCCAGTCAGATTGATTCAAACTAGG